CTGAGCCTTATGATTGAGAAATGGTGAAAACCTCAATGTGGGTATCTGAACTACTGTACTCATGTTATGTGTGCTAAATATATTTTCGGAATTCCAATTTGGAGAAGAATTTATGGAGTGACTAATATCAGACTATGTATAAAACTTCGTCGGGGACGAAAAGTAGGCTGATAAGAAGTAATACGTGAAGTGTGCAGGAGATTAAAGAATAGAATATACTTTACTTACCCCAATGTTATACATATGATTTTTCCGTCTCCCTTGAATAAAAAGTCATTTTCGAATAATTTATTGATGAAAGTAACAAAGAAGTTGGTATACGCCTCGGTATACGCAGTATAACTTACAGGAACGTTATCTTCACTCTTGCATCTTACTTATTTTCTATTTGTGGTAGAGTAATAATTATATGAAGTAATGTCTTTCGCCATATTGGATTCGCCATCATGAATTTCCAAATTTTGACGAAACAATCATTATCTCCTACCCCGACAACCCTCAGATACCAATTTTGAATAGAATCGGATCTTCATTACAAAACTCGTCCACCATATTGGATACGCTATCTTTAATAACCCAATTTTGACGAAATTATTATAATCTCCGACCCCGGAAATCCCCAGATACCAATTTTGATTCCTGTATAGAATCGGATCATAATTACAAAATTCGTTCGCCATATTGGATCCTCTATCTTGAATTTCCCAATTTTGACTAAAACTCATGAACCTCGACCACGAAAACCCTCAGATACCCATCTCAAATAGATCATAATCAAAAATTTCTTTCGCTATATATTGGATCCGTCATCTTGAATTTTCCAAGTTTGACGAAATGATCATTATCTCCAACCCCGGAAAACCCCAGATACCTTCCAATTCTGAATAGAATCGGATCATAATTACAAAACTCGTTCGCCATAAAATATGATCTTCCTCAACAAGTAAATACCCTGTACATACCTATTAATAAAATTTTGAATGATTTTCTGTAGCGCCCATGGATGTGACGTGACAGCAATGTCAGCAGGGATGTCAGTAGACAAAACTAAAGTCTCTAAGAACCCTAGATATGAACAATTGAACGCTAGTTCGGAACGTGGGGTTCTTATATCTGATGATAGATGGCTTGAACGATGGACAATTTTTTGTAAAATTTAAAAATGCGTTCCTGACTCAGATCAACAAAAGACCCCCTGATCTTAATATGAAGTTGAAATAGACTCTCAAGGATAATTTTTCTTCCTTTCGGGATCCGAAGAGTTCCGTTGATGGTGCACGAATTCAATAATAGCTGAATAGAAGCATCTAGAGACAGGAAGTGAGAGAGACAGGGCGCAGCAAATAGTCCGTGTGGAAACATCTTTGATCGTAATCTTGAGCCTTGATCCGTTGATCCTGATTCGAGATATCTGTCACGAGTGTCACGTTTTCGGTATATTCATGATTTGGTTCAAATTTCAAATGGAAATATTTTAAATTCTCAAAAATGATAATTCTTGACTGAGTTGAGATTTCGTGTCGTATATGTATTTATTCACCATTGAAAGTCGAAAATATAACGCACCGTTTCCTATTACTCGAAAAATTATGAAAATGAAAAAGTGAACTCAAATGAAGGTGTCATGATGCCCGTAGATTTGGTTTGAAACTTCGGAAATTCAGCAAGATTCTCCCACGCCTCGCTATTTTTACAAAGTATTAGGCGATATCGGGAGATTTCGAATTTTATTTCAGTAGGAAGTGATAACACCATTTGACTTTCCAAACATCTATCTCTTATCTGTTACAGTTGTAGAAAATGTATAGTGTGTAACTCGCACGGAATGCCTATTACCCCTCGTATTATTCTCATGGTAATTGACAATCATTCCGTGCTCGTTAAACAATATAATATATTCCAATATATTCCATTGTTCATAAAAACTCTCACTTTGCCAATGAGAATGATTGACATACACGTGGTAATACTGTTTTGTTGATGAATTCATCACCATTTTTTTTTCTACAGAAACAAATTTCATAAATCTATCCTGAGATAATTCGGATAAGAAGTGTAGGGGTTTCCATTGTGAAAAACAGAGATGAATCCTTTCTATCCAATGCTGCCTATATACGAAACATTTCACGGTCTCTGGAACGTTGAAAAACACGGAACCCCATTTATATTCTCACCCTGGCAAACGAATACACAACAGCTTTCCCATTACAAAGTGACATTTCTAGATAAATGAGTAACTGGAAATTGGAAGGGCGGACTTTTATTGAGAACGACTCCTCAGAGAAGAGGTGAATATTCCTGTGGGGACGATGGGAAATTGGGGGTCTAATAGAACACCATCAGTCTCCAATGGTCATCAATCAATTCCAGAAATGATAGGAGCAGGGTGATATATTCGCGTGAATAGACAAAGGATAGGTTAGGGTAACTGCGAGGAACAAGCATGCAAATAAAATAAAAATAAGGACAATCTTTTATTGCACAAACTAAAAGCGGAAATTTGTGTGCCAAAATTCTGAGACTATCCCAAGAGGTATTATAATTGGGCACTTAGGTTTCGCATATTCATGGAACTTGATGGGGAAGTTTCCTTTCAGATGACTTTTCATAAAATGAGTTTGGAACTCTCCAGTTATATGTCCACGCTGTACAGAATGACGACCGATAAAGTCCAAGTCGTTTACATTTCCAAATTTGAGCAATTTCTAATTTTCGGGGCGGCAAACTATAACGTAAATTCTGAATCTAATCTGAAAATAGCTGATGGTGATGAATATAGCTAGCGAATAGCTAACGAATAGCTATAACGAATGAAAAACATAGAAGAAGTCAAACTGGTGAACAAAAACATACATAACCACAAATGCACTCGGAGCAGGAATGCAAAAGGTAGTTCGCTTCATTCTGACAGGTTATGGTTTTGTTATTTATGCATTGGAATATCTCGAATAGAGCTCCTGAACGAAAATATCATTGATTCAATGAATCACTATCGGTTACATTCAATGATACTATCCTTCCTAATACTTCCTACCATCAGTCAGAATAGAATGAAGCCGACACCCATGGCTCCTTCCTCTTGTTATGCCTATCAGTATTTTGAGCGGTGTAGACGGGCTCATAGTATTAGGCGCTGTTGCAAGATATAATCTGCAACTTTCCTTGAAAAAAGTTCCGTTTTATTAAGGAACGAATTTATCAGCAAAAAAATGACTGACAAGTTAATGGAATACCCTGTAATAGCGGTCTCCATGATTTGATCAAGTAAGTGTTTGGGCCTACTTGGATACGATGAATATTCTAACCAATCGTACAAGGGGCGAAATACATTAAGATAGTCGAATAATGCAGTCCAAATAGAGGGAGGAGTGTATCCAGATTGCGACGGCTTTCACCAAATTCAACATCTCTGGCCAGAGAATCGGTTAATTAAATCCTTCATATGTAAATTTTGAAAGTAAGTCAACCCAGAGAGTGCAACTTCAAGTGGGCTCTAGTGTATATGGGGTTGAAAGATTTACATATTCCAATAGTCAGTGAATGACATTATATTTCTTATTGAACAATGCTGAAGAATCATTAATATGCTCATACACAATTCTGATTTAAAGTTTTTCACAATTTCTCAATGAGCTACATTTCAGTAATAATTCTTTCCCCAGACTATTTATTGTCTAACTATCAATTATTTTGTGTTTTAAATCTATTCCTTGAATTACGACACGTATTCTTGCAACTCTGAACAGATAACCCGAAATCAACATTACGACAATCATTGTCCAAATTTCAAGAACTAACCCTGATTGTTAATTTTTATTATTATGTCACTATTGGCATCACATAAACTTATGACTAAATGCGACTATTTTTTGTTTGCTAATAACGAAATTCGACACATATTTTCCATGTGATTTATAGTCTTAGAGATACAGAACCATTGTTCTGATAGTGTTGCTGTAGTGCAGTAAATTTTTGTTAACGCTACAAACATGAAAATTTGAGCAGAGTAGGTATGAAAAACGTGATTTCAATATTTGTATTCCGAATAGTAGTTATTCATTGAACAAGAAAAAAAGTATTAGATTTTAGCTAAAGGTGCCTGCCAAACTTCACCTAGGAATAGGAAGAAATGTTGCAATGAACATGAGTCGATAAATATCTCCGATGAGAGCTACCCCCTGAGAGGACACTCCTGGAGATTATATTTCTTGAATATTTTCGAAATGCCATGTAATAACATTATGCGTTTCGATATACAAGAACTATACTTTCCATGCCCAATGCATTGAAGATAAAATCATTCCAAAATTTCATTCAGGAGTGATGTATAATACAGGAAGGGACTACATTAAATATTGCTCAAACTTTTTTGTATGCAACAATTTAATTACGGATTATGAAAATCCACACCGTTTTACAGAAAAAGGTGCAGATGTATCAAATTCGAGTGAAATTGATTTAAAAAAATTTTCACCCTCACATCTAATGAATAACGTTGCCAATTTCCAAATCAACTACTTTTTTTTCACCAAACAATCTTATAGAAGCGCGTAAAATAGGAGAATTTCACCCTGTATAAAATTTTTAATGGTGCCAATGGATTGTTCGCATCATTCTATATGAATGAACTTTCGAAAATTTTCAATGTTTCTCACCATGAAGCACACAGAACAAGAAAACGAAATCGACTATTTTTCGATTTCCCCCTGTATCTCTGAAACGAATGAGGATATCAAAGTTCCGAATACGCCATTTTAGGTTTCTTCAAAATCGAACCCGTGACATGGATATCGATTTTCCGATAACTCCTTTAGTTATTGAGATAGTCCGTGAAAACGCCTATTTTTGCCCACCCTGTACATGCTATCACTTGAATGTTCGATTACCCTTGATGGGGTCATTTCAATTTGAATATATAAGTATGCATTATGTGTTAATTAGTGAATTTTCGACTGAGATATCCTGTCATTTCCTCAAAATTTGCTGTGCTGGTGTGAACAATGACCCTGGTATTGAATCGGCTATATCATGGTTACTTTTGGATTTTCGATGAATTATCAGGTAAGATACAGGATTTGTTGGAAAAGTGGTATTTTTCCTCAATACTATACTCATAGATCAATCAGCTAAACAGCTGTTTCTGATGGATATACTGTTGCCAAGTATTACAGAAAGATACATATTTTCTGGATCTGTGAAAGTTACCATGGATCCATTTTATGGATTCACGGTCACAGTTGCACTCAAAATACCTAAAATATTTCTTCAAGTCATTGAATAATGAAAATTACACTAGCAAAGAGGTACTCGATCCTGTTAGATTAGTAATGACTTTCCCTGTATATTCAAAAATATATTGGTATATTAAGGTTATAAAAAGACAGACCTACTAGTTTTTTTACTCCCGCGTAAGGTACGTACGTAACTATAGTTCGTTAAAGTGCATCAGGAGTAATCAGGACAATATAATTTATACTTCGTTCAGGATCTCAGTTCGCTTCCAATGGGAATGTGTTCATTTCGGACTATATCTTTCTCTTTACAATACCTTTGCTAATTAATTAACGTAACTGTAGAACACAGTGGCGTCAGCAACTATGAGGCTTCATAAAATGAGTTCTACTGCAAATCTTTTCTGGCAAAATCGTTCGTGGATTTAGAATCAGCGAATGGAATTATATGAATTCAAGAAAAACATTATATGATGCATTACAGTTCTCCATGTGAATTCATCAACAAAATTACAGTGTGAGTTTTTGCGATCATATCAGAATTTCATCAGAAATTGCCGAGACTGAAGGGTATATGATCCAAATTGAAAAAATGTCTGACATATTCGCCAAGATATCGTGAAAACACTATAATGTGTTGATGTAGTTCAAAACTTTGTATAGTTCTTCTCAGTTATACAGGGTGTTATTTAAGTACGTGGCCAAACTTGAAGGGGTGATTCTTTGAGTGATTCTAAGACGAAAAGTTCATATAAACATAGGTCCGGTGATGCTTCGTTTTCAAGATACAGGGTGTCAAAATTTTTAAAAGAAATCGTTTTTTTCGTAATTATCTTAATAACATTTCATCCGATTTTATTGAAATTTGGCAGTGTTATTCAAGGTCGTATAGGGCTAATTTGACCCTAACTATATCAAAATTATCATGTCCAGTGGCGTCCCGGAAGGCACTGTTACCAATATTTTTGACAGAAAAAATGTGCGCCACTGATTTTTTTGCAATTTTTGTATTTGTTTCACATTGAGCAACTAAAATGACAACTTTTTTATATCCAGAATTTTTTTCGTATCTTGCTTTGTTTTTGAGAAAAAACATAAAAATCACTTCATTGCACATCCCTGTGACGAGCCGAAGCCAAGAGCCGAAGGCAAGTGCTGCAATTCATACATACATATTTTTTGTTTTTTCATTGCATTAATTTTGATAGAAAATTCCAAGACTAGAATAGAGTATTAATATGAAGAAATATTAGTAAGACCCCAGTTTTTGATGGTTTAGTAGTTGAAATGTTTTATTGTGTTGTCACAGGGGTGTGCCATGAAGTGATTTTTATGTTTTTTCTCAAAAACAAAGCAAGATAAGAAAAAAAATCTAGATATAAAAAAGTTGTAATTTTAGTTGCTTAATGTGAAACAAATACAAAAATTGCAAAAAAATCAGTGGCGCACATTTTTTCTGTCAAAAATATTGGTTACAGTGCCTTCGGGGACGCCACTGGACATGATAATTTTGATATAGTTAGGGTTAAATTAGCCCTTTATGACCTTGAATAACATTGCCAAATTTCAATAAAATCGGTTAAAGGGTTATTAAGATATTTACGAAAAAAACGATTTCTTTTAAAAATTTTGACACCCTGTATCTTGAAAACGAAGCATTACCGGACCTATGTTTATATTCGGGTTGAGTTGAAAAACAGCTATATGCTGATACTTCGCCTTTTCGTCATTGCAGTTTGTGTCTGATTGTGTAAAATATTTTGTTATTTTGTTTATTGTTGTCCTGCAAATGATGAATAAAGACGTATTATTATTATTATTATTATTATATGAACTTTTCGTCTTAGAATCACTCAAAGAATCACCCCTTCAAGTTTGGCCACGTACTTAAATAACACCCTGTATATGTACCGGGAAGATCTACTTCTGAACTTTTCATGAAGTTGTATCATGCTGTATGAAATATCCAGGTGATCATGGACTACAGGCCAACATCATCAACATTCACATTCATCCAGAACTAAACTACTAGTGCTTAAAATATTGAGAGTACGAAAGATGAATCAATTCAGGACATGTTTGCATAACAAATATAATGCTAATAAATGATAAGTGGTGGTTGTTCATATGTTCAACTCTTTCATATTTTTCATTCAATCTCTTCACTACAATTCTGTCTAATATCCAATCTAAGAGGTTTCGCTTTTGGAACAATGAGAGTGTTTATATAAAAAAATGTCCTGTTTATCTAACTGAATTTTCTTTTGTCTATTATAAAGATCGAGCAATCCCAGCTTAGACGTATTTTTAACTAACCCAGTTTATACAGGGCGGCCCTTTGAAAACGAAACAGTGGCTATTTAGGTTGCCAAAACCGGATTATGAAAAAAATCTGAAAGACGTCAACTACATTTTCGAGGGGGACATCGTTCTAAATTACTTATAATAACTTTGTTATTTCAAATGGAACACCCTGTATTTCATTGCATTTCTCCCCACAGAACTGTTTCCATCAATGCACACTTGAGATCTAGCGGCAATGATCACAGAGCTACAGGGTGTCCAAAATCGAGATTTTTCAACTTTAGGATTTTTTTGTGTCGAAACTATTGGTCAAAGCGGCTCACATGATCCAATCTCGAATTTCGATTCACTATCAACTGACATTTGATTGGGACAAATACAGCGTGGTTCAAGACTCAGAATTCAGATCACCCTGTATCTAAGGTGAAGATTTTTACTAGCTGCATACACGTAACTGATCCATAGAATGAAGAGATTTTGTATTTCGTGTAAATTTTTTTAATTATAAATCGCAAAGCGCTTTCGGCTAAAAAGCCATCATCAGTGCTATACCTGCAAGTAAGTAACATTTGTGAAATTTCAAAAACAAATCTAAAAAGGTAGATTACTTACTCGTCAAGTATTTACAAAAAGGTCCAAAAATTAGTGATTACCATAATGATGTTTGTGATCACTAATTTTTGGACCTTTTTGTAAATACTTGACGAGTAAGTAATCTACCTTTTTAGATTTGTTTTTGAAATTTCACAAATGTTACTTACTTGCAGGTATAGCACTGATGATGGCTTTTTAGCCGAAAGCGCTTTGCGATTTATAATTAAAAAAATTTACACGAAATACAAAATCTCTTTACACCCTGTATCTGTTCCAATTGAATGTCAGTAGAAAATGAATCAAAAGTTGTGTTAGGATATGGAAGCCGTTTTGACCAATAATGAATAGTTTAGACACAAAAAAATGTTAATGTTGAGACTTCTCGATTTTGAACACCCTATAGCTCTGTAATCATCGCCGCTAGATCTCAAGTGTGATGCATTGATAAAATCAGCTCTTTGGGAAGAATCTAAAAATGCAATGAAATACAGGGTGTTCTATTTGAAATAACAAAGTTGTTGCTTATTTAGATTAGAAGCGCATCGCCGCAGAGCTGAAAATAATTTACACTGAGAGAAAACTTGAGTTATCATAATTGGAAATCTGATAACCGTTATTACGATATCTGCAATAAATAGGGGACAGATGTGTTCATTTGCTACCATAGATGAAGTGAATTTTCAGGTGACTTGTAGTTATGGCAGCTTATTCAATTTGCAAACTTGTATAAAAACACCGCTGCTGAATAACTACTGATTGTTCTAGTTTCTATGATAACACAGAATGTCGAATAGGAATTATTCCCATACAATGTTGCAGTAACTCTCCACTCTACAGTGGTTATTAGACTATCGACATAAAACAGCATGTTTTTAATACTGGCACAACCATCTTGAGGTAACGCAGTAATACGTCTCATTTTATTATAGTTATCTGATATCTGCATGAAACCTGACATTTTGACATGCTATTGTAATATAGCTCATTTTCAACAGTTATCCCAATATTTTTCTACTCTATATATATATTCATCGAACAGTGGTAATAAGGTTATCTAATCAACATTATTCGATGGTATGCATTATGAAACCGTGCTTTGAATTACTGCAATGAAAATAAATATCCTATCCACACTATCACTTTTCATGATCCAAAATTATTGTTTTCAAAAAAACAAAAAAATACGTTTAGTATCTGAATTGAAATATTTGGGTATCTGTGGAAGTTTTTTGACATTACTCATTGATTTTTTCGGGGAAATATCATCTATATGCATTACTGACGAATTTATTGAGAAATGAAAAGTTGAATACTTATATTTACCCTTCCTTCGGAGTTATGATGAGAATTGTCAATAAAACTTCCCTCACAGAAACCCAGATATTTTGATTGAGAATCTCATCGATCATTTTGTTTTTGTAATAAACCAATTTTAGGCCGTGAAAAGTGGGTATGGAGAATACTTTTTTCATTGCAATAATGCAATGCACGGTGTATTCCATAGATCGGTTCACAGCCAGCACTAAAACAAAACTTTGCTACATCATAGACATTCACCTACAAGACACGGCTCTATCGATTCGGACGATCGAAACCATTGCACAATAATTGAACACGGGCACCCATGACCGAGAACAGCAGTGAAATGAACGCGATCTGTATCTTTGTCAGCACCAGTACTAATGAAACACTAGAGCGAAATGAGCCGAATTACGATTGTCGAATGATTGCCTAATAACCGTCATACATGTGAATTGCTAGAGTTATTCGTCATCGTACAATGCTAGAAACCCAAACAGCTAAGATTATTGGGACAAACATTATCTGAATTCACCTATGAGCATAATTCACAAAACGAGCTATGCCAATAAAAAATCTAAATAGACTGGAATTTATAAAATTCTCATAATGTCATAACTCACCTGCGTTATGATGGTAGCAAATGTCCATTCAAGGGTATTACAAATGATTTAAGAAATCGATTTTTATAATTACAGAATGGAGAGAATACTGTTGTAATAATAAAATGATCAGGAATAGGAGATTTCCTTATAATGGTTATTACAATCAGAGCTGGTAGATATTTTTAATATCCAGTTTCTCTCAGTGTAGAACGATGTCCCCTTCGAAAATGTAGCTGACGTGTTTCTCAAATATTTATTCATGATCCGGTTTTGGCGACCTGCAGAGCCTCTGTTTCGTTCTCAAAGGGCCACCCTGTATAGGTACTATCATATATTATTATTCCAGATCCGAGGTCTTCGCATATACTCCTGAGTTCACCACTCAGTGTTTTGGCGGTAACTTTTGCATACCTTCACATTGTTAGAGTGATAGGACCCAAATTAATGGAAAATAGACCACCGTATGATATAAAGAATGTAATTTTACTGTACAATGCAGTACAAATTCTAGTGAATACATATATTTCAATCAAAGTAAGTTCTATGGTATTCGTATTGTTATCATTGCCTTGATTAAATCTGTCTCTCCCTACAGCTAGGGTAATGTTTCTGAACATTTTTAGGCTGCTAGACATGTACTCAAAAATCCATTTGGATGTCTGGACCTCGACTGGAGTGATGACCCAGAAGCCATGGATCAACTATTCATAATGAATATCTTCTTCCATACGAAATTATTGGATCTTGTAGACACAGTGAGTAATTACAGTGAACACACATCCCGATGAAATTGCAGTATGAACACGAAAGAATGATGCTGAATGATTGAATGGACATTTCGGAATACCTTTGGATGATTTCTTCAGAATGTTCCCTAATAGTCGAGTGAAAATCTGATAATTATTGGGATTACCAAATTGAACAAGCTAATTCAAACGATTAGGAATAACCGCGAATAGTGCAAGTCAGTGCAAGAGAATTTCTGATTAGTTGTTAGCTAATGTTGAATATACAAAATAGCCAAAATGCTCAAAGTGGAAATGAATGTTGCAAAAATCAACAACAATGCTAGATGATGAGAGAAAAACAACTACTTTCCTAGCTAATACCACGCAGAGCAAGGAATAAAATCCTCCCTGAATCTATACATCGAATCGTATAGGTCGCGTGCACCATGGAGCTAGAATATTGAAACATAACATCACTCTTCTGTGAAACATTGAAACACAACCTCACTTTTTTCAATTGTTTATAGAGGAATAGAAGAATTTAAATAGTTTTTCACAATATTCAGGCATACGAATCGTGTTTTTTGCGCTATTCATTAATTCAAGCATGCCTTCGCATTGTGCTGTTATCTGTTATATAATGCAAAAAAATGCAGCGAGAGACGAAGGCATATGATTTTTTAGGTAAATAGTAATCTCACATGGTTCCTTATTAAAATTCCTTCTGCCACTTCTGCAATAGAAGCTAATACTGCTAAAAGATTGAAAATGTCTACAACACACATGATCATATTTCGTCAGCATGTCAGACCAGTCCTCCCGTTTGGTTGCATGAATCCAATCTTCTTGCATTATTTTAGAAGTTCCCATTGCAGAACGAATTCCGATGGGAAATCAGAGAAATTACCAAATTTCAAAAATGAAAACTATATGTGAGTGACTATAATAGGTACTTACTTTTAAATCATAATGTACCAACCAGATTCCTTCGTCTTCCGCTGCATTTTTGTGCATTGTACAATAGCACAATGTGATGGCATGCGCGATTAAATAAATTGCCGAAAAACACGATTCATATGCCAATATTATTGTGAAAAACTATTTCAATCACTTGTGAACAAATGAGAAGATTGAGGTTGTGTTCCAATGTTTCACCTCCAGGGTCGGTCATCTGACAGTTCTTATACGCGACCTAAAAACGAATATGATTATGTTAGGTTATGTTCAGGTAGGTAGTGTATCTGCTTTAGTAATTCCACCTTTCAGAGAAAACAGTTATCTCTTTTCGAAATTAGGACGGTATAAGGCCTATACGCATCATTTTGAAGGTGATTCAAGGAATGGTAGTATCTTCAATTCCTCATTCGTGGTAATGAAATGCACATCGAATTTGATGGAGTTGCCAATTTAGGTGGAAATTTATGATTAGTCGGATTATATATTTATACTAATTTCGGGCCAGGAGCTATTTCACTTCCAGTCAGTTGCTTATGATCTATAAGGCACAGATCCGACCTGTCCTGGAATACTGTTTCCATATTTGGAGCGCAGCACCCAAACATACCCTGAAACTGTTGGATTCTGTCCGAAAAGGGCAATTCGTGGGTGATGCTTCGCTCACAAACTCAGTCACTTCTCTGGAACACCGTAGAAAAGTTGGAGATCTGGCTCTATTTCATGGATATTTGTATGGACGATGCTCTTCTGAAATATCAACAATTGTTCCTCCATTGGCAGTCCCCGCGAGATTAACACGTCGAGTTGAGGCTTCGCACCCCTTCGTGGTCACTTTGGAAACCTGCAGAACATCTCTTTCCAAAGACTCGTTCATCCAACAAACAGCGAGGCTCTATGGAACACATTGCCAAGGGAGCTATGACCTGTTCCCCGAGGCATATAACCTCCAGAAATTTGAGAAGAACTCCAATTCCTACCTTATTCCGTTTGGTTCTCACGATGTTCTCTGAACATTACATGATATCGCTTTTCGTGGGAACCAGAACATAAAAAAAGTGGGAATAAATGTTGAAAAAATTATCAGCAATGCTGGATGAGAAAAAAACAACCACTTTCCTGGCTAATACCACGCAGAGCAAGGAAAACATCCTCCCGGAATCTATACATCGAATCGTATTAACGAATATGGTTATGTTAGGTTATGTTCAGGTAGGTAGTGTATCTGCTTTATCTCTTTTTGAAATTAGGACGGTATAAGGCGTACGCATCATTTTGAAGGTCATTCAAGAAATGGTAGTACCTTCACTTCCTCATTCGTGGTAATGAAATGCACATTGAATTTGAAGAAGTTGCCAATTCAGGTGGAAATTTATGATTAGTCGGATTATATATTAATACTAATTTCGGGCCAGGAGCTATTTCACTTCCAGTCAGTTGCTTATGATCTATAAGGCACAGATCCGACCTGTTCTGGAATACTGTTTCCATATTTGGAGCGCAGCACCCAAATATACCCTGAAACTATTGGATTCTGTCCAAAAAAGAGCTATTCGTCTCGTGGGTGATGCCTCGCTCACAAACTCACTCACTTCTCTGGAACACCGTAGGAAAGTTGGTGATCTGGCTCTATTTTATAGATATTCTCATGGACGATGCTCTTCTGAAATATCAACAATTGTTCCTCCCTTGGCAGTCCCCGTGTGATTACCTCGTCGAGTTGAGGCTTCGCACCCCTGCGTGGTCACTTTGGAGACCTGCAGAACATCTCTTTCCAAAGACACGTTCATCCAACGAACAGCGAGGCTCTGGAACACATTGCCAAGGGAGGTGTTCCCCGATGCATATAACCTCCAGAAATTCAAGAAGAACACCAATTTCTACCTTATTTCCCTTGGTTCTCACAATGTTCTCTGAACATTACATCAAAAAGCTGCAAGAAGCATAAATAACCTATGTCTACCTACCTCAGGGGAAATGGGTAATTTTCAATTGATCAACCTTAACTTGCTCACTTGGTTCTATTCTGTCTTGATCGTGATTATTGATGATGAGAAATGGATGAAAGAATAGTGAAGTTTTGCGAATAATTGGTTGAATTGACCTCTTGTAGATACTGCTGCCACATCAGTATTTTCTAGGAATCAGTGTATGCCGTTGCAAGATTTGTTGATCATAACATAACAGTTATGAGCGAATGAATTAAAGACATCAAAAACTCAGATTTCGGAGTTCAAAAATATGAAAGTGATGAATATTTAGTCAGGAATTTTCTAAAGTTATTGGATAACTTAGATCATTCTCTTCGTTATCATGTTTCATTTCACAAATTACAGGTATTCTTCGTGCTGAGGAAAAGCTACAGACAAGTGAGTTTCCTCCATCTATACCATCATTCCGGCATGACTATATTGATGTGGTTTGGAATTCGATTTTTCCCTGGTGGAATGAGCCTTTGGATTCCCATGATCAATGGTTTCGTCCATGTGGTGATGTTTATCTACTACTCCTTGACTGCCCTCGATAGCAGTTGGAAGCAGAGCATTGCTTTCAAGAAGCGACTAACGCAAATACAATTGGTGAGTTAGACTTCCTTGTGTAAACGAGGTGGTCTCTGATAAGCAATTTTACCTGTCTCAAAACCACCTCATTCAATATAATTCTAATTACCAACAAAACGTATTCTCTCTTTCTCATCTCTTTAATTTAAAGGTTTTGTGTTGTATGTCGTTGTGTATTACTATAGCTTGAGAGCGCTTGCTCAAATCAACGATGATGATAGAGAGGCTTCAACATCAGCAGTTGGAACTGATGAAAGTGATATCTTCTTACAGCTGAATGAAAATTCCGCATCTATTTCTTCCAATAACTAATCAAATCTCAGAAGATATTGAAATTTTTTCACACGGTGCAGTATCAGTTACATATATCATCATATATGTATATCTAATAACATTCATATACCTGATATTCCTGAAATTATTATCGAAGCTGAAATCAAAATGTGACGAGAACATTCGAATACATTTTTGAAAATCGGAAGCTATGAGGCGCTTAGATTTTTTCTGTTATGTTCAGAATTATCGTAGTTACCAATATAATCACGAATAAGGAGTTATATCTCCCCCCCCCTCAAGGTACACTTCTGGGTACGTCACTGTTGAACGATTATTCCATTTAAAAAAAGAATTAAAACTAGTCTCTTCATTTCATCCAGATTTATTATCCTCCGTAATATTAATATTTATTATTTTGAGGTATATAATTTTTATTTCTTTTTTTTTTTCAGTTACAATTCATCATCATCTTGACTGTGTGTATAGCCATAGTTTTCAGTGATTGCAGTTATCCCAAGTTAGCTGGTTTAATGCTCATACCACAAAATCTGTTCATCACGATATTGTTTGGAGATTTTTATTTGAAAACATATGTGTTCAATAAGAAGAGTTCAAAAAGCACTGCATAACTTTATATGTCAAAACATATTTGGATTACATTTCTCAGTTCAGATTATATAAATCATAACAACTATTTTTGAAATTGTGACACAGTATTGTATAGTTTGTTGAATTAATTATACAAGATTTATTTTATTATCTATAACTTCTTTCTTCATGAATATACCTTGTGCATACCGCGAAGGAGATAATTTTCAATCCGTCTAGTAGAAGTGAATATACAATTTTTCAGTAGAACACATGGAAATTATATTTTTTACATATTTCGAGACCAATAACGAAATAAAAATATGGATGGATGAAGAAAATAGTGCATTTTTTCATTTTTTCCTACTCGATATTACTAAAATTGGGACATTTGAATTTCAATCACCTGAACAACGTACCATGACCAGGGTGCACTAGAGACCAAAATGGACTGGCTGATTGAAGCTAACTTACCTATATACGAAAATGCACCAATGAGCCGTGAAAGGACGTAGAAGAATGATCTCATTTCAAGATTTTCTTCAATATTTCGAAATCCCTTTGAAGGTACTGCTCTAAAATTCATTGAACAGTTTACTATCGTGAATGTGCATAAAAAACATGTCATATCAATTCATTCCACTTGATTATTTGAGATTATTTCTCTTGGTTCTATAAAATAAAATGAATCAACACAAATAAAGTAGAAATTTGCAATTTCATTATGATGAATAATCCTGACATTATAAACAAGTAAGGAAAAGCACCAAGATGAAATTGTTAGATATCTCGAGAACTAAGGAGAATAAAAAAAATTGCAGTCAAGAAAAAGTTAGCCAATTGATTTTGTCGTTCATTGAAATATAGAAACATGGTCAGTAGCGTGATCCAAAAATTTTACATCAATATTCATCAAAGAGAATGTGAAATATCTATCTGCCTGCATTGGTATGATATGCTTTGTTTGTGATAGATAGTAAATAGCAGTACCTCTCAAGGATTTTGAAATACTCAGGGAAATCTGTAACTAAAATTATTTTTCATCGCCCTGAGGCGAGGTAAGTTGATTTCAATCAGTCTATTTTGGTGTCTAATCCACCCTGCAGAATTTATGGTATACTAGTAAGGAAACGCATTGCATTTTGTGAAGGTGTTTTGCGGGATCTTTACACAAAGTAAGGCGTTTCCCAACTGGATTCGTAAATATCTATTGTATCTAAATCCATTTTACATAATTTTCCTAGATATTTGCTGGAATTTTGTAGAACTTTCTCCCAGCACGTTCAATAGGAACGAAAGGTACAGGGTGATTCACCATAAATGTCCCCTCCTCTAGCTCAGTTATTTTTAAACCGATTTCAAAATTTGAAATATTATCTTGAATGATTTTCGATAAAGTTTTTTCCGCTACATCAGAAAATACAGGGTGCTCGGAACAAACGACCAAAAATGAATAGTTTCGATCGAGACAAAACTATCCTGAACTTGAAAAATCTCGATTTTGAACACCCTAAATCTCTGTAATCATTCCCGCTAGACCCCAAGTGTGATGCATTGATGAAATCAGCTCTTCAGGAAGAATCTAGAAATACAATGAAATACAGGGTGTTCCATTTGAAAAAATCAAGTAGTACTCTGTGGATCGATTGTTCCGAGCACCCTGTATTTTCTGATGCAACGGGAAAAAAAATCATTTCAGATTATTTTTCAAATTTTTAAATCGGTTCAAAAATAAGTGAGCTAGAGGGGGGGACATTTATGGTGAATCACCCTGTACCTCGCTGTTTCATAATACTTGTTTGAAAATATAATCAGCGAAGTTTCTACTACTGTATAAATAAATATTTGCAAACAACTATTGAAGTTTATTATCCATTTTTTATTTTATGACCCTTCAAATACATAATTTTGTGATTTGGAATCAATTATTTGCATATATCGTGGAAGAACTAGTATTCAATCAATAATAATTATTTAACGTTAGTGTGGCCACAAACGTATACAGGGTGATCCATGGTGGATGGCCTATTAGAAGTATCTGGAGAACGAGAAGACAGAAGATTCTGAAAATTTGGATGCTTCGATGATTGAACATTCTCTGTCCGTCTGAAAGGTTTTCATCGATACAGTGTTGCCACTTCTAACAGGAACAACTAGCAACTTCGTTATTTTAAATGGAACACCCTGTGTTTTATTGCATTTTTAGATTCTTCCTGAAGAGCTGATTTCATCAATGCATCACACTTGGGGTCTAGCAGGAATGATTACAGAGATATAGGGTGTTCAAAATCGAGATTTTTCAATATTAGGATTTTTTTGTTCGAAACTTTTCATTATCGATCAAAACGGCTAGAGAATGTTCAATTATCAAAGCATCCCAATTTTCAGAATGTTCTGTCTTTTCGTTCTCCAGATACCTATTAGAAGGCCTATTAGAAGGCCATCCACCGTGGATCACCCTGTATAGATGATAGTTGGATGAGATGAATATCAGTTGATTAATTGTTTAATAATTGGAATCAGTATCGAAATTAGGTTGCCACAAAACGGAATAATTATTACTAATTAATGCATGTGCATATTATTGTATAGGACTTCCCCTGATTGGGTATACCTACCATATTACCCACAAATCGAACATCATTGGAGTTAATAGGTAACGATCACAACCAGATCAAATTGATTAATAGGCCGTTCGCCTTATCTGTCATTTCATTAACTAAATAGATAGGTATTATGATATAATAGGAAATATCGGGGAGTTCAGTCAATCGGGCTAGAAGCAAACTACTTTATTGCTATGCCAGACATTCCACCCGTTGAGAGTCGAATGCCCGAAATCGTCTTCCGTCAACGCACTTTCAGACGAATTTTGCTTGGTCTCAAAACGAATAAGGCTAACGGTCCTGATGGAATTCCACCCATTATCCTAAAAAAATGTGCACCAGAATTCACACCGTTTCTCTGCAAGTTGTTTACCGTCTCGTACAGGTCGGGTATTTTTCCATCATGCTGGAAGACAGCTAGAGTCCAACCAATCCCCAAAAAAGGGAACAAGAACCTGCCCAACAACTACAGGCCCATTGCCCTGTTATCAGTAATCTCCAAAGTGATGGAGAATTTTCATTTCTTCCCAGGAAACCAGGAACTCACGGCGCAGGCAGGTCAATGCTGTCAATGAAGACCTTGCTGAAATCACAGCCTGGGGAACCAACAACCTAGTTGAATTCAGTGCCACCAAAACTCAAGCCTGTATTTTCTCTAGAAAGGCGGAACTCAGTATGCCCGACATTGTAATGTCTGGCACCACCATCTCCACCAAGCCCACCATATGTATGCTCGGTATTTCCATCAGTAATACTCTCTCATGGGATAATCATGTCAGATCCATCGCAAAAGCTGTTTCACAAAAACTCGGATTCTTGTTCCGTGCGAAAAGCTACTTTACAGCTCAACAGCTTCTCATGATCTACAAAGCGCAGATACGCCTTGTTCTAGAATACTGTTTTGACATATGGGGTTCAGCACCAAAACTTACGCTGATGCTCTTAGATTCCATTCCATCCAGAGAAGAGCCATCCGCCTGGTGGGTGACGGCACACTCACTCACTCTTTGACATCATTGGAACACCGTAGGGAGGTCGGCGACCTTTCACATTTCTATCGATACTTCCACGGGAAATGTGCTTCGGAAATCTCTGCTATCATCCCTTCACTAGCAATACCAGTCAGACGAATTAGACAAGCCCAGTCAGCACATCCTTTCGTTGTCAACCCCGAAAGATGTCGAACAGCACTTTATCAAAACTCCTCCATCCATAGAACGGTTAGGCTCTGGAACTCATTGCCTGAGGAAGTATTCCCAACAACATTTAATCTCCAGAAGTTCGAAAAAAATTCCAATACCTACCTCCTACCCCTTTCCTCCCTAGGAACGCACGATGTTCTCTGAACATTATAGGGATTCCCTTTCGTGCGCTCCAAGCGATGAAAAAAAAAGTGGCAATGATGAAGTGACATTCATTTTGCAATATCTCTTCAAATAAACTTAGTAATAAATAAGAATTTGAATTTCAAAGCATCATTTTGTTGAGCCATGAAATGGTGCCTACTCTGTTTCTTTCAAGGTTACCGAGATCCCCATTCTGTATTTTGGAATACGCGGAATAATCTGATGAATTCGTTGACACCTGGTATGTATAATAATTGTTTTCTGGGACCAATGCAACTAGAGGGTATTCCCATGTGATTTACCAAACAGAAGCTCAGAGCTCGAAGTTAATCGATTATCCAGTTGGCCTGGATGCGACCCTTAAAATTTAATCATACATGTTGATACCAGCTGGATTCCTGTCGTTGGCGCTAGAGTCTAGAGTTCTCAAACCTGTGTCCTGTCCATTAAACCGATGTTATGAATGATGACGGCACAGAAAAGTTGACTTTGAACTTTGAAGGCGGCATATCACGTGTATTGCATTCACTCAGTGTGAGAAGGATTTCAAGTTACATGAAAGGAATTCGAACGTGAATCCAGATGTGTTTGATGTTTTGATATAGGGCTTGTAAATGCATAGGCGCCAACTTGATGAAATATCGAAAATCTTAAATATTTGATTTTATTTCTTATCTGATATCAGTTCGACAATAGTTCCAAACTTATACATTCGGGAACTCTCATGTTGAAAAGAAAGTACAGAATAACATTATCTTTTTTTTTCTATGTCCTGGTTCTCACGAAAAGGGATATCCTGTGATGTTCAGAAAACATCGTGCGAAACAAGGAAAATAAGGTAGGAATTGGTGTTCTTCTTAAATTTCTGGATGTTATATGCCTCGGCATACACCTCCCTTGGCAATGTGTTCCAGAGCCTCTCTGTTCGTTGGATGAACGAGTCTTTGGAAAGAGATGTTCTGCAGGTCTCCAAAGTGACCACGAAGCCTCAACTCGACAGGTTCATCTCGCGGGGACTGCAAAGCGAGGAACAATTGTTGATATTTCAGAAGGACATCGTCCATGAAAATATCTATAAAATAGAGCCAGATCGCTAACTTTTCTACGGTGTTCCAGAGGAGTGAGTGCGTTTGTGAGCACCACCCATG